GCTCCCTCTTGGCCCACCTTCAAAACGGGAGGCTTTCCTGGGATCCCAGTCTGGTGGTGCCCTCTTGTGGGCAGAGACATCACTGCAGTCTCTTCAGTTCAACCAGAGCAAGAGCCCTGATGCCCGCAGCTGTGGCCCTTCCCTAGAACCTGGGAAGCACTCATCTTTTCTCTCCGAGCTCAGAAGAACAGTTGGTTTTGTTAGTAAGAAATCACAAGTGGATCTTAATCTGGAGATGAGTCTAGCTGGAGATGCAGACGGTGGAAGACACACACATCACCCTGAAATGTGTTCGGGGCCTCAGGTGTCCTCGGGCTGCAAGCTTCATCCACATCGCCCTCTGTCGGGCAGGGCTGCGTGCCTTGGTGCTCCGCACCTGCCACCGTCTTGCTGGTGGTAACAGTGATAGCACTGTTTACATGACCTTATGTAAAACATAATTAACACAGCTTTGCTCACTTAGTAAGTGTCCTACCCAGAAGACTGTGAACTCGGATATGTTATCACTATGCGGGTTAAGAATTTATAATAGATGTAGAATATCATAGTCCCTGCTATACTGCAGGTATTCAATTAAAAAGTAGCTACTGCTTCAACTGTGATTTCTTCATAGCCAGCTCTGCGTCGTGAGTCCACATCTGCCCTCCTGATTCTCCTCTCCACATCTGCACACGATGTCTTTGTCTGTCTGCTCCCTCTCTCTTACTGACACCCTCAGTTTCTCCACACTGAGCTTCTGTTCCTCTGGGAATCTCTGATGCAGCTAACTGCTCCGTCCTCCCAAGATCACATTTGCTTGTTCTGAATAACTCTTGGCTTTTGACCCCAGGATTCGCTGTGCTTGTAATGCACAACTTGTCATTCCCCCATGGAACAGGAGCCACGAGCCCTGTCCTCACTGAAAGGCGGGTCTGAGCAGTGGGACTGGGCTGAATGCCTAGAGAGCAAGGCTCATCTTAGAAGCTGCGGCCGGCCCGGGGCCTGATGCAGCCAGGTGACACCTTGTCAAGGGTTCAGGGATTAGAGACACAAAGGCACAAGTTTGTGGATGGGACGGTGGTGCTGGCTCACAGAGCACATGCGCCGCATGGAAACGGACACCTGACTCACTGAACGTCTCATTAATATGCAGACCCACTCCGGATACTTCTCCAGTCTGTACCCTCATCACCATTTCGGCCCATTCCCGCATCATCACTCCGTAAGTGCCCCTCAAACCTGCCCCAGCCACCATTCTTCCTGCTCCACAGCTGCCCCACATGGCCCTGGTGAACAGGCCAGTGACTGGTCACAGTGTGACTGGTTACAGTGGCTCTAGGCTGTCCCAGAAGGATACAGCTCAGAGTGTAAGCACAGAGCCACCCTGCTTCTCACTCAGTGTTGGGGAGCCTCCTCGACTGTGTGGCCTCTTAGATGACCCTGGGAGTGGGAGGTGGGACGATCAAGTTTGTGGTCAGCCTGGACTGTGTAGTGAGTTTCCTGCCAGCCTAAGCTACACACAGGGTAAAATCCTTCCTTAAAGAACCAAAGATTTAGAGCTATGGCTCAGTCATTAAGGGTGCACACTGCTCTTCAGAGGACTGGAGTTGCCAGTACCCACATCAGGTGATTCATGGTCACGTGTAACTCCAGGGGATCCAGTGTCTCTAGCCTTTGTAGGCACCTGCACTTACATACATACATACGTGTACACACACACACACACACACACACACACACACACACACACACACACACTCTTTTAAAAATTATTAAAACACAAAGAAAACCAGT